TGAAATTATATATCTACTTATTGTTGAAGTCAATATATATAAATCTATGCTAAAATCTTCAAAGCTTCTAAACAGATGGTAATGCTTTTTTAAGTATCTAAACTATATATATAATATTGCAAATAAAGCTTAGTCTTGGTGATACAGAATTGTGTTTATAAATGTTGAGAATAATATTGAAATCAGATGCTAAAATTCATATCGGAGGATTGCAGTCTAATAAAGGAACTATGTAAATCCACAGTCTTAATTTGAAATATACTAAATCTATATAACAATAACTCTAACTCTAAATCATAATCAACTATAAACAAATAAATTACAATTTTAGCATCATTTTGACAATAATATGTTAAATAAACCTGTAAATTGCAAATTTCATTATTAGATTCAACTGATCGAATCTTATAAAAGATATATTTGTATTATTTTATGATAGAAAGAAATTACCATATCTTCTGAGATCTGCTAATGTTTCTATTACCTGAAATGTTAAAATTTATTATTTGAATACCTTAGAAATTTATAAAATACTTTATTTATATTAAGTTAATTATATAATTAAAATAAAAAATTAGACATATTAAAACAGATATTAGATTATATTTGAATATATTCGAATTATTTAAAATGAATTAATATAGTTATAGCCTATGGCTACATGTAGCCTAGTAGTTTAAATAATAGTTGGTAATGCAAAATATAAGTAAATTGTACGAAATATGAGTAGTCAGTTGTATGAAATATGAGTGTAATGCAATAGTCAGTTGTACGAAATGTGAAATATGAAACAATATGAAAGTATCATAAGTGTAATGTATGATATAATAGCACATATAAAAAAAATAGATCAGAAATACTAGCGCTAGTCTTTTAGAAAAGAGAACTAATGTAAAGTGAACGCTTACTTTAATAAGATCCTTGAAGTAATTGTTTTTTAACAAGAATATTTGTGTTGGACAGAAGTAGTGTTATACTACACTGGTGTTTCTTTCCTTGACTATACTGGTGTGGTAAATACTTGTATTTTTTTTTTTCGCTTGCAAAAGTGAGAAATTAAGAGAGACGTTGCATTTTGTTCTGGTACGTAGTTGTCAAATATATTAAACAAGGTGGGTTATTCGAAAAGTTCCTTTACTTAAACATTAAGCAGTTATATAATATTGGTTTGCTTACTTCGGTCCTATTAGCAGTCCTATTAGCTATCACATTAGCTATTGCATTAGCCGTCCATCTTATTAGCCGTCGCATTAGCCGTCTATCCTATTAGTCATCCCATTTGTTCTAGCCATAAATATATATAAAGAAAGTGGGTTATTGGTAAGTTTATTAATTAAACATTCAGCAATAAGATTATTGGGTTACTACTCCAGTTTTATTATTATTATTAGATTATTAGTCCAAGCATTTTAGCTATCCTAGTTATTAAAATACATAAAACAAGATGCATTATTAGAAATCTCATTCAATAAACATTACGCGATTATATAATGTTGGTTACTTACCTTATTTACATTATTAGTTCCAACCGTTCCAATCAAATTTAATGATGCAAAACGAAGATATATATGACACAAGGTTAATATTAAGTAAAGTATGGTTGTGGGCCTATTCAATTACTTAAAATTCAAAACTATAGTTTAATGCTATTTAAAAGTTACTATAGTTTTAAATTTGAGTAACTGAATTGGGCTAGTATTTAAAATGTTGATATTAATAATAATTTACATTTACTTATCCCTTTATTATGATAGTTCGATCCAAACATTAACAATGGCTAATGATAATTTAACACTAAATTTACCAGTTTTGCCTATTTATAATGAACAATTAGATAATTTAAGCTTGAACTCACCAGTACTAGATTTTTATAATGAACCGGTACTGGATTTTTATAATAAACAATTAGGATTATCACCAGTACTAGATTTTTATAATGAACAATTAGAACTATCGTCTATAAATACTGCTCCTTTATCAATACAGACCCCAGATAATTTGATTAATCCACCTGTTCAAAACTCTGATAACGTTATTAACGCACCTGACTCTGATAATGTTATTAATGTACCTGAAACCCTTTTACAAATTCCAATATCAGTACCTGGTATGCGATTTGAATCATGGACAGAACTTGATAGATATATCAATGTTTATTGTAACTTAAAATACTTTTCTAAAGTTATTTATAGAGTGGAATATAATAATGGAATAAGAAGACGTTGTCATTATAAATGTGAATATCAGGGTAATTATCAAGAAAAAAAAATATGATTGTTGAGACACAGCGAAACACACGTTCCAAACGTAGTGGATGCCCGTAGTTTATAAATGCTACATGCCCAAAGTTAACAGTATTACCACCATGAGTTTAGAGCATTGAAACCATCCTTTAGATCCTCTTGCCAATAAATTTGGCATTACACACCGAACATTAACTGAGCCAATGTTAGCTAATATCGAATTTTGGACAACAAAAGGAAATCTTAGTATGTGTACACAACGTCAATTACTTGAAGCGAAATATGAAAATGTTTTTTTCTTACCTCAAGACTTGTCAAATGCTATTCAAAAGTTTAAAATAGAACAAAGGGTTAATTATGAAGCTGCAATATTGATTAATGACCTTATTGAATGTAAAGCTAAGGATATTAGGTGGACTATAAATTGGTGTGTAGATCCAACAACCAACTCTTTAGTCTCATTATTCTGGATGACACCAAAACAATTTGAACTTTATGTACAATATAGTGATATAGTTCAATATAATAATACTTACTCTACTAATAGGTTTAAAATGGCACTTGGACTTTTTGTTATTGTTAATAATAATAATTGGTCTCGGTTGGTTGGCCAAACGTTAATGAGTGATGAAATATTAGAGAGTTTTGAATGGGTATTTAGCACTCTTATTAAAGAAACAAACACTTTCCGCTTAGTTATTATAACAGACAATGATCTTGTTATTGATGCTACCATTGCAAATTTAATGTCTGATACCTACCATATACATTGTATATATCATATTGAACAGAATTTATTAAAGAATCTAAAGTCTAAATTGGGTTCAAAATATAATGATTTTATTAAAGCTTGGTATAAAATGAGAAATACTCTATCTCAAATCGAATTTGACCGGCTTTAGGACTCTCTACTAGAACAGTACCCTGCTTCAGAATCATATCTTAATAGAGCACTTGGCTCTCAAAAACATAGATGGGTATTGGCTTATATTTCACGTGTTTTTACAGGAGGGATTCAAACTACGCAAAAAGTAAAAGGGCAAAATGCGATAATTAAAAGCGCTATTAATAGTCATATATCTATTTTAGACCTATTTCAAAAAATTGAATTATAATTTAATTGTATATCTACTACAATACAATATAAAAATTAGGCTCATTCTATTACTGGTTCAACATTTATACATTCAAGTCATGATTTTTCACCTATTATTGATATATGGATAGTTGACTATTTAACTCCTGCTGCCCTCTCTATGCAATGACAAGAAATATCACAAGCTATTTGGTATTCTTCACAACAAATTGATAAGAATCGCGTCTTTGAAATTGAGGATGAGATTGAATTACCTAATACTGATTTTGCAGAAGATACTGTTGATGTTCCATTAATACTTTTAAAAGAACTTATTCTAATAAATAAAGTTGATGACATTGTTGAGATTTGGAAACTTGTTCATCATAGATATACAAAAAAAAATTATGTTGTTCTTTTTAATGATAAATATCACCTTTGTACTTGTCTTGGACTTGTCCGATGTGGTATTGTATGCCGATATTTTTTTCACCTATTAGGAAATTCAATATATGCAAAATTTCATGTAATGCTTATATCTAAATGATGGTATAAAGATAAAAAACAACGTGAACCTACCTCAATTCTTTGTTAACAATCTTTTATTGATAGTTTTCAGGAATTTACTGATACTACTATATATAATGAAATTTATCTAGAAATGCCTTATAATATTGTTAATATTCCTTATGAACGTGTTTATAAATCTTTAAATCAATGAAAGGAATATGTAACGGCTAATGGACTTTCAAAAAAAAAGATTCAAATGGGATTAGATATAGGACCATTGGCAATACAAAAGTTAAACAGTTTTATGAAGGACTTTATAACAAAACACGCACCAAAGAGTAATCAAAAATTACTGCGAAGAAACTCTAAAGAAGAATCATCTCGAAGAAACTCTAAAAGAACGTTATTAGCTAAAACTTATAATATGCAAAGCAGTTCTGATGAATCTGACTGTTGTGAATCTTCTGACTCAAATTATAATAATAATAATGAATCATATTCTCAAGATACTGAGAATATAGACCTATTATTAATTCAGAATTCTATTGTTTATGCAAGAAAAGGTGCTCCACGCAAAACACAGTTCAAGGGATCACAAGAGATAAAACAAAAAAATAAAAAGAATCAGAAAACTAAAGGCGAAAACCAACTGAATGTTAGCAATACCATAAATCTGGACATAATAAAGCTGGCTGCGAAAAATGGCATCAAAAAAATCAAATTCCTTATTCTTTTTAAAGTGTAATACATTATTGAGATATGTATATGCGTGTAAATTGAATATTTATTGCTTTTAATGCTTACTAATTACTTTTAACTGAAAAGTATAGCTTACCAAACTAATATG